ACGCACAGACATCGTGGTCAGAGACCGCAAAAACAAAATGTGAATTCTTATTGGCATGGCCGTCCCTGCAAACGGTAATGTATCTTTGAAGAGCTTCAAAAAAATTTCAAATTAAAAGGACCTTGAAATTGAACTCTCAAAAATGTGCCACATGAGGACATCAATAATTCCAGTTGTAGTTGAAACGCTCGGATTGATTGGAAAAGATTCCAATAGACTCATTGAAGGGATTCCTAGTCGCCCATGACTTAAAGATATACAAAAAAAAAAAAAAATGTACTCGCAGGTATAGCCCACACCTTACGAAGTAAAGTACGTGTGATCTTGCGTGATTTTTTTTTTTAAATGTCATGATGCCATTTCTGACCTTAGGTCTCTGGTTGAGGCCCGAAAAGAAATGAGTATACACTAGAAATCAAAGAAAATAATAATAATAATAATAATAATAATAAAGTACGAGACAAACGTGAAACGTGGGCGGTAAATAAAGATGTCGCGTAAATGAGTTATTTCGCCATCTAATTCTACTTAATTTCTGAAACAACACTTGGGACATGTTGTTACTGTGGTTCGAATTTTTCATTCTATTTTCCATCCCAAGTTGTTCAACTGATGCTGTATTGAGTGCTCTTCACAATTTTGTTTTAATTATACCGTTGTCTTGTTATTTACTTGCACTCGACCCCAAAGCATTTACATTGTGAAAGAATAAAACATCAAGATTGGCGTGCAAAATGAAAGCGAGGACCATAGAGAAAGTGAAAATCAGGAAGGAAGGTAGAAGCAAGCTTTTGAACATGTACAAAGGTAAGCCATAATTAAATAAACGCAATTTTTATTCGGATTTAATAAAGATACTGTATATTCACTGTAATTGTTCAATTTACTATAAAAATGTTGTGGCAATGTTTTTTGAGTCCCCGTGAAGTGCGAATCCTCGTCGCCATGTTGTTGCGGCCTGTTTAAGGGCCAGAAAGAAAGACACGGAAGACGAAGGTAGTTTGAAAAAGTATATTGAAGATATATACAAAACAATAGTGTTAGTAATAAGTAGATTAGCACTGCATCTACTACTCCACTCCACTTCACACTTGACTTCTGACTCTCGCAGTTTGTAGTTATGAGAGGAGGAAGTGTTCATTCTACTGTAGGATGGTTTACCACAACAAAAAACAACCACGCAATCATTTAACAGCGATTTTTATACTATTTACATTATTCGGACTAGTGTCTTCATTTTTGTCGTCATATTTATTACAAATTTCGGCCGTTGTACGCTCCGGTCTTCTGCAGGTGGTTGGAATATCGAATATCCAGTGACAGGACCCAAAGAGTGTGAGGTCAATACCCGGTTAAGGCAGTCGAGCACTTGAAGAGGGGAATTAACAGGAGATAACTGATAACTGACATCCATTAAAAACATGGCACGTGGAAGTAGAACAGTCTACCCCAGTGAGCAAAATAAAGGGTTCAGTTCGACATTCCAACCACTTGAAGAAGGCCGGAGCGTACAACGACCGAAACGTTGTAATAAATATGGCGACAAAGATGAGGACAATAGTCCGAATAATGTAAATAGTGTGCATAAAACCTCATCTCAGAAATATAGACAGGTACTGAAGGGCCGAAACGTTGTAATAAATATGGCAAAAAAGATGAGGACAATAGTCCGAATAATGCATAAAAATAATAGTACTGAACGAAATAATAAATATGGCAAAAAAGATGAGGACAATAGTCCGAATAATAAATAGTGTACATAATACCTCATCTCAGAAATATTGAAGGGGCCGAAACGTTGTAATAAATATGGCAACAAAGATGAGGACAATAGTCCGAATAATGTAAATAGTGTGCATAAAACCTCATCTCAGAAATATAGACAGGTACTGAAGGGCCGAAATGTTGTAATAAATATGGCAACAAAGATGAGGACAATAGTCCGAATAATGTAAATAGTGTGCATATAACCTCATCTCAGAAATATAGACAGATACAGTAATTTTAATCAGGAATCATTAGATTTCAAATGGAAACCTATTGTCAGTCAGTTATAAGTTCTTTACCAAAATCTTACATTCTTTGAGGTGTTGATTTTTTTTTCTCTACAGACAACAATAAAGAATATTGGATCGTTCAAAAGACAGACTTCAGGAAATCATATCATTATTCAGACGTTAAAATTATTCAGACGTTAAAATTATTCAGACGTTAAAATTATTCAGACGTTAAAATTGTTAGAAAATGTAGCATAAAGTAAAAAGGAATATTTATTACGAAAAGTGTTGTTGCTGGTCTTTCCTGTCTAATTTAGCTGAACACATTTTTTGAGACATTCACAAAAAACAAAAAAATAAAAAAATCTTACACAACGTGAAAAGCGCTTCCACATTTCAATCAGCACAATATTATGACTTTTTAGCCCAACCATTACCAAATTGTTAGGAACTTGTACGATGATGATGAAAAGAAAAAAAAACATGAAAGGAAAATATTTGCAAAATGTTTCGTAAAGACTCTCAGTACACACATATATAAATATACACACTATTTACATTATTCGGAGTATTGTCCTCATCTTTTTTGCCATATTTATCACGTTTCGGTCGTTGTACGCTCCGGCTTTCTTCAGGTCGTTGGAATGTCGAATTGAACCTTTTATTTCGCTCGCTGAGGTAGAGTCTTCTACTTCCACGTGTCATGTGTAATGGATGTCATTTATCAGTTATATCCTGTTAATTCACCTCTCCAAGTTCTCCACTGCCTTAATCAGGTATTGAACTCACAGCTCTTTGGGTCCTGTCCCTGGATCTAACCAACGCCTTTATCCACTGTGCTATGTGTCCTTAAGAATAAATATGGCAACAAAGATGAGGACAATACTCGAATAATGTAAATAGTGTACATAACACACACACACACACACACACACACACACACACACACACACACACACACACACGTATATATATATATATATATATATATATATGTGTGTGTGTGTGTGTGTGTGGTAGAAAGCCTTGTTTATAATTGGAAAATTATAAACAAGGCTAGAACATGTAAAACTTGGGATGACCCATGCCCTTTATGCCTCCATGAGAAAATGCACATAATTAAACTTCTAAATAATAATAATCTTTTTAAACAATAGACACGAGTTAACGGTTTTTGTAGGCATCATCAGATTTTTGGTTTGAATTATTAGCTAAAAAAACTAGCATACAATATAATAACTTGTTTAATCCATAGCCCACTCATCAGATTCATGGTTTGAATAATTAACTAAAAACATGCATACAATATAACACCCTTCATAATCCATAGCCCAAATAAATAGTTTAAATACCCTTAAAAAAGATAACCCTTTATGAAGTCGTCAAAAAACAAACGTTACGACATTTTTTTTTTTTTTTTTTTATGCACAAATCTCTTTCATAAAAAAATAAAATAAAAAATAAATAAATCTCCATAGACATGCAAACTAGACGCGGGTTAATACATCTTCCGTTTCAGATTTAGACACCCCCACCTTTCCCTGACTTGACATATACGAAAGTAACTCTATACTGATACTTATTATTAACACCCAACACCCGCCTACTCAACTTAAACAATTACCCTGGAAATTTTGATTTCAATTTTTAAGACATGTAAATTTCAGAAACACGTTATTCCAAAAAAAATTTCGCCTGAAGATGGAACAGAGCTTATTTTAACTCAATTTAATTTAAATAATTATATTGAAGTTTTCGGCTCTTGTTTTGAAACATGGGACTTCTTATGTCGCGATTTGGAATAATATTTTAAATAAATAATTATATTTATGCTCTACTTTTGTATCGAGCACTATTTTTAAAAAATAATAACTAAAAACTTTGGATTAAGGGACTTTGGATTATTTAATCAATATATATATATATATATATATATATATATATATATATATATATATATATATATATATATATATATATATATATATATATATATAAAAATAGTAATTCATCGAGTCTAGAAGAATCCTCAACAAAATGCAGAAAGCACTGGACGGCCGTTTCGCCTAATTTGGGACTCATCAACAGTGCGCATCCTCTACCGAGAATCGAACCTGGACCGTTATGATACAAAAACAAGCGTCATGCCACTGAACCAACGGGCCTCGGTGACGAAGAAGAAACTGACTAGACTCGATAAAGCGCTGCTACTCACACATTCTGTGGTGATACTTATCCAAGTATTCATAACCCAACGGGTTGTGCGCCCAAAATTCTATCACTTGTATATCCTTGCTTAACCCAGATAATGATCTGCGATGGAGCGGCTAAAGTGAAGGATGGATATATATATATATATATATATATATATATATATATATATATATATATGGCTCAAACACTAATAATTTATGGTTATAATTTATTACATTGGAATTGCAATCACGACCCAATTCATCAAACCTATAAATTTGTAACCACTAATATTATCTATCTATCTATCTATCTATCTATCTATCTATATATATATATATATATATATATATATATATATATATATAAACCACAATAAGCAAGCCGGATCAAAAGGTAGTTTCTCCTACAAAAGAAACACAGATTCCATCCCTGCCTGTGAGCAAATTCACTTTATTAAAATTTCTCGAATGCGCAAAGTGATAGATGTTAAAAAAAATGGTGACATCTATTTCAAATACCACTATTTACTATAATAATGTTTGAAGTAAAATGGCGAATTAAAACTAAAATCCACTACTTTTTTTAGAAACATTTTTTATAAACACTGCAAGTGTGTTTGAGAAGTAATTATGACGTCTATTGTTTCACTTACAGGGTCATTGGTGAATAAATTTTGGTTGTTCAATCTTGCTAATATTACTGTAGAGGGATGGCCTCCGCTAGGTTAAAACGCCCAAGACACGCGTCTATAATGAGTACACCAAAAAACCATTCGCGGTGATCCAGGCTTTGGCACGCGACCGCGACAGAATAGGGGACAGAGCCCCAGTGAAGAAGAAGAAGAAGAAGAAGAAGAAGAAGAAGAAGAAGAAGAAGAAGAAGAAGAAGAAGAAGCTAATATGTAGCTGTTTAGTTTATTTTTATTAAATATTTGGATGAAATCTCATGTGGAATTTCTGTTGTATTTTGAGGGTATGTATGGTTTTGTTAACTTGACTGATCATTTTGGAATTTTGGCAGATAGGTGTAGGAATTTGTTAGCATTATTGGGTTCTTGGTTTGTGGGGTTTCATATTTATATCGATATATCCTACTTCGTATTTGCCAATGATTTTTCTGTTTCAAGGATTCTATTTCTGTGATAAGTTTATCCACGTTTGTAAGATTATCTGAAGATAATTATGTAGATTTTTAAGATTTTATCTTTTAAGTTGACCGTAAGTCTTTATTCGTAGATATTTTTGTTTAGTAAGATATAGATGTTGCTTTTTCGGACAGATTTATTGTAATATCGATTTTATGTAGTTGATTAGTTGCATTTATTAACATCTTGGTAAATAGTGAGTTTTGATTGTGGTAGTTGTATTGGTTATGTCTACTTTCGGGGTTTTTTTAAAAAAAGAAATGTAAGTTTGACTGTATTTGTATTTTGTTGTACGTTTGGTGTTTTTCGTATGGGAGTTAATACTTCCAGATTTCATTGATAACATAATTTATCGTGACACTGTTTGTCACAATCGCGAAAAAGCTGTCTACATATGCGATAAATCTGTTTTAGTTAGAAGAGCCAATCATGGCGACACTGCCAACGATCTGGTTCAGCTTTAGCTTGTACAGAAAAGGGTCACACGCAATCCAGCCGATGTGAAAGCGGACATATCTGACGAACTGAATTTGGCTAAGTGAAATGTGTCATTTTTGAACAAGTGTGAATTTACCTCGAGGTGATAAGCATTATGCTGAAACTGCGTGTGAAAGAGCTCAAAAGTTCTGCTCATGAACATGAACCACTGTTACTTCTCAAGACAGACGACAACTCAGAACAAACAAAGATATGTGCAAAGATTTTCAAGATTACTTAGTAAAATTCTTAAACAAGAGACCGGTTTTTAATGTTGTTGTTGATGAGCTCAGTTTCCATATGATCCTTGGTTACATTTTTGACCGCCATGTTGCTTTCGCTTGGCATTAGTCAAGAAATACTGTGTGTTTTTTGTGCTTTTAAGCTATTTTAATTATATTTAAGATATTTCAAGTGATTTGAACAACATACCGCAAAAGTTAACATGGGGCATTTTTTTCTTCTTCTTGTCAAATGATTTATAACTTTAAATGTCAATTTAAATAAAAAAAGTTAGAGGTAATATTAAATATTTCTTTAAGTGGAATTTGACAAAATGTACGGGATGAAGAGTGATTGTGAAAGAGCTAACATCTCAAAATTAATGGTAATTATTTGACATCTGAAAATTAATGGCAATTATGTGAATCTCAAAATTAATGGCAATTATGAATCTTTCAAACTAGAAAGGAAATATTAACCTGACACAAACGTAAGCTATATATCGGGTTACCTCCCCTTAATTTTCGAAACTCCTACTAGGTGACGCTTTCCGGATTATAAAATTTTATCGCTCCCTTCTTACTTTTTCCGTTTACATGTCAACATATAAATCTTTCGCGAAGGATGCGTGCCCTTTGGGAAACGCATGAACTAACCACGCATACACAATACACGTACGTACACACATTCACTCACTACACATACTTTGCAAACCCATTCATTTGACACAACATATCTTTGTTTTTGTCGCTTGTATACCTTTGTTGTTAATATATTATCATTTGTTGGTAAGTATATATTGGTTCTTATCGTTACTTTACATTTATTTACGTGGACTCACATCCAGAGTCTGCCATATTTGTTGTTGGTATTTTAAGAGGCACGCGTGTTTATCTCTCAACACATACACCGGCCAGCAGATATATATTATATTTTGCTGAACTTTTAGGAAGTGTGTAGTCATCAAACAATTTTTTTTTCATTTACTTCTTGATTTTTTTTAATACACTTACCTTTGATTTTACCCATTTCCTTTTTCTATTAAATGACAGGAAGCAATGTAGTAAGCTGTTTTCGTATAGTCCCCCCCCCCCATTGAGTTCTTTCACATCCTAAATTTCTTTCGAACTGTTAACTTTTCCTTCGGCTATGTTATTTGTAAAGGACAAGAAGCGTATATTAAGATTTCGTAAATATTTTTCATTTCAAGGATTTAAAAAAAAAGAAATACTTCTCTATCATCTCATAATTCACCCATCTCAAATACGTGTACCTGAGGAATATGTAAATAGATCTTTTACTGAGAAAAGTTATTCAGTATGAATGATGTATTAACGGTAAATTAAAAGATATTGATTCGGTCAGGTAATGTTGTTACCCAAATTAGTGTTAGATTGTATTAAAACCTTGACACACTTTTTGTATAAAAAAATAAATATAGGAAAAAAAAACGCTTTGTTCTTTTTTAATGATTGCCCGTTAAATGTTGCGAGATCAAGAGAAACGGCGGGAAATAATTACGATACTTTCTTGAAATGATTATAACATTTCTTGAATGACTGAAGTTAGCCATCATTAACCCTAGGACACTAACCATCAGTTAAAGTTACACCACTACTAACCATGGGTATATCATCTCCGATTTTGAAAATATCAAAAAAAAAAAAAAAAAAATTATATACAAATCTTTATTTGAAATATTTTAGATGCAGGCACTTCAAACTTTGTAATTTGAGTTAACATTAACCCTAGAACACTAACCATCAAGTTAAACCACTACTAACCATGGGTATATCATACCCGATTTTGAAAATATCAAAAAAAAAATTAAATATAAATCTTTATTCGAAATATTTTACATGCAGGCACTTCAAACTTTGTACTTTGAGTTAACATTAATAGGAACTGAAAAACATATTATTTAGGCAAGAAAATCAGGTACTGAAAATTGTAATTAAAAATATGAAAATTTGCGCTGGCTACTATATACCCATGGTTAGTGTTCTAGGGTTAATAATATGTACTAAGTGTAGTGACTGTTAATGAAATTTTTAGTTTTGAAACACACCGCTTTACATAGTACCCCGAAATGTTTCTTAAAGCTTTCACATTTCTTTCAATGCAAGTAATTTCGGTTTTTCTATATGGGTTGTGGATCGGAGCCAAACTACTGAGCGGCTAGATCCACAATCTCACGCAATCTCCTCCGCATACGAACTCGACATTCTATTTTAAATTTCAAGAAGCATCACACATCTGACCAGGTAAGCGAACGTCGGTCTTTCACGGTTCAGTAGGTGATATTCTATGGTCTAATTGATGCTCAATAATTGATAACGTGGTTTCAATTACGGTACTCAGGTTGTTCAATAATTACGAATCTCCCTGGAATAGTGCACTGACATGTGTTGAGCGGAATTTGATTATGATATGATTTGATACAAATGTCAATCGATATGATGTCTTTCCAGAATCCATGCCTTCGTCATATAACCTTGCTACTATTACCCGATAATAATATACAATAGTACCATCTTAGAGACAACGCTCTCCTATATCTAACCACAGAAATCATTCTGTTATATTAAATCCTGTTCGTGTCGCTTGGTTGCAGCAACTATACTGCCACAGCTACACTGTCTCTTTACCTATATATGTCATCTGGCTGAATCTAAGTACAAGAGCGTGAAAGTATCTAATGTACTAATATCTTTAATTTTATGACAGTTAATTTCATAGGTTAACTAACTTGACTGAACCTGTATTCAGAATCAAGTGATGAAGTCTAAAGAAAGGATACTAGAATATTGTCGCTTCACAATCGCTTTTTGATTTGGAATCGAGGTGATGGTAATTCTTGTGGTTAAAAGAAGTCTAATGCTGAATGACATTTATGATGCTCATAGTTGTTAACTATTAATACTGGCGCCTGAGTTCTTCATTTCCTTCCTCATTTGAATCCAATAATTCACAGTCAGAAAGAGAGCCAGGAAAAAAAGTGAAGGGAGAGACGCGCGGTTTCATCTCTTGTGACGGAAAGGAAGCATTTATCTGATAAAACAGCTGCTCCAATTTGATACAGCGAATTTCAAATTATTTCATCTGTTTCCTGAGATACACATGAGATTGCGCACTATTCTCCAGGTGAACAATCGAGACGATCACCCCTTTCTTCCTTTACATCGTTAGATGGTCTCAGGTGAAAGGTGTGTTAAATTATTATAGACGCTCTTCACTTTCTTCCCGTCCCCGCATTCATTATATGCCATCTTTATATGGGTTGTACCTACTGAGACACTCTTACAAAAAATATTTAGAAAAATAATGCTGATAATAATTATCATGATGAAAATAACAATTATAAAACCTGTGTGGGTAAATACTAAAGATAATAATAATAATAATAATAAAAACAGCTCCATTAATCTCTGAAAATAATGATAATTGTAATGGTAGAAATAGTATAAGAATAAGAAAATTAATAGTTATTCTTTTATGCTAATGATAGAAGAGAGAATATATTCTAAAATAACAGCAATTGTAACGTTTCTTTACATTAATACAAATCATACAATTATGAGAAGTTTATCTGATCGTAACTACATAATGTCATAAGTAATCCTAATAAATTCACTAACCATAAAAACTATGACCATTTTTAATGTAATAGAAACAGTTTTAGACAAAAGAAAAAAAGCAATAATAATAAGAAGAATATTAATAGAAATAACCATTAAGATTACAATAAAATAATCATAATGATGATGATTACGATTATGAAGTATAATTATGAAGTATAATTATTATTATTATTATTATGAAGTATTATTATAAGTATTATTATTATAAGTATTATTATAAATATTATTATATTATTATAATTATTATAAATATTATTATAAGTATTATTATAAGTAATTATTATAAATATTATTATGAAGTAATTATAATTATTATAAGTATTATTATAAGTATTATTATAAATATTATTATAAGTATTATTATATTATTATAAGTATTATTATGAAGTATTATTATAAAAGTATTTATTATAAGTATTATTATAAGTATTATTATAAGTATTATTATATAAGTATTATTATAATATTTTATAAATTATTATTATATAAGTATTATTATAAGTATTATTATAAGTATTATTATAAATATTATTATAAGTATTATTATTATTATTATAAGTATTATTATGAAGTATTATTATAATATTATTATGAAGTATTATTATAAGTATTATTATAAATATTAAATATTATTATAAGTATTATTATAAGTATTATTATAAGTATTATTATAAGTATTAATGAAGAATTATTATAAGTAATATTATTATTATAAAATATTATTATAAGTATTATTATAAGTATTATTATAAATATTATTATGAAGTATTATTATAATAATATTTATTTTATTATAAGTATTATTATAAGTATTATTATGAAGTATTATTATAAGTAATATTATAAATATTATTATAAGTATTATTATAAGTATTATTATGAAGTATTATTATAAGTAATATTATAAGTATTATTATAAATATTATTATAAGTATTATTATGAAGTATTATTATGATGTATAATTATAAGTATTATGAAGTATAATTGAATGTGGATAATTCGAAAAGAGTTTGGTACATTGATATCTATGTGTTATTATTTCTTCTCGTGTCATTATATTCTGAGAAATATAGTCAATTTCACGATGACATGACTCACACATCCTGATAAAAATGTGAATTGATAGATGAATTATTTCCTACCGAGCATCGTAACAACTCTTTTTTTTTTTTTTGTAAAAAAAAGAGACTTAATTTTTGTTCTTTTTATACGTCCAATTACTGTATTGGTTTTATTTATTTATTTTACAAAGATTATACTGCAGCAATCATTTACGTTGCTGATACATGTCTGTCATGAAATTCTATATTCTAAGCCAGTTCTAAAAACTGACCACCAATGAAATTACATAATGATGAGGATGATGATGATAACGATAAAGAGAAAAAAACATGATAATAATGATAATAATTTCTGCCATTTTGTTATTATGACTCGAAGTTGTAAAAAGAACAAGTACAACAACAGCAACAACAATATATAAATAAGAAATTGGGAGAAACGGGGAAAGCAAGTAACAAGATTTTCAAAGAAGCCTATCGACGACCGACAGAATGCGTAGAGACGGCTGCATCGAGCAAGCCAATCCCGTTGGGAGTCAATCTATCGGCAACAAATAGCCTGCTCAAGTCAACAGGTGCACGCCGAATTCTGACGGGAATTCAGATACCAGGATTCAATTAGGACGCGAATTTTTCCGCTCGAGAAACGAAATAATTATCGGTTGTCAAAACCAAACATCTCACGTCTGATCTCGCCATGGGCGGGGACATTTTATGAAGTCACGTTTAAATAAAAGTAGCTCTTCTGATACGCAGAGAAATAATATTAAAATAGTTTCGATACAAAAAAAAGACCTAAAAATAAAATGAAAATGCTGTGACAATAGAGTTTCATATTGCAACTTTTAAATGACAATCCATTCTTTCAATGCAAGAGAGCAGAAATGCTGAATGAAATAAGAATTGAAAAAAAGCTTCTATCTTATTTAATATATATATATATATATATATATATATATATATATATATATATGTGTGTGTGTGTGTGTGTGTGTGTGTGTGTGTATAAGAAAGAAGCTTTTTTTAAATTTATATATTTTTTAATATATATATATATATATATAACTGCTCAGTCGGTGTTAAATATTCTAAATGCTTCATACTTGCTCATATACTTACGTTTGAAATAGATACTGAAATTAAAAAAAATTGCCTTTACCAGACAAGTCTTATAATACAGGGTGCGGCAGAAATACAGCCCACATATACGTTCCAGAAATGCCACCCACATAATGGTAACACTAGCTAGATGAAGACACCATTGCCACAAATATTTTACCATTATGTAAGAGGTATTTCTGGGACGTACACCCTTGTGCAAATTAATTGAAACAACTGCTTTAGTTTTACCATACGGTCAGTTTTAGACCCACTGGAGTGACAGGGTGTAATCGATTTTTGTTTTTTTCTTCAGATTAGGTCATTTACAGTGGTGTGCAGTAATATGAATCGATTTTCGCAGGGGGGTATGATTGTTGCGGTGTCCTCCCTCTTAAAAGTCTATGTTAGACTCTTCCACCTACTATAAGTTTAGTAGGAGAGAAGGAACAATGAACAGTGTACAGTGAATAGTGAATAGGTCGGGTGCTAGTTCATTCGATACATTCTTACTAGTTGTGTAATTCTCTTCTAGTGTCCTTAACCATTTACTTGGTCAAAACAATGATGAAATGTGCTTTGTTTGGCCTTGAAAAATACGGCGTCAGCTGTGATTGCATTAGATTTTTAACACACCCAGACACTATTGTGTCGGCTGTCGATTAGTTGTCCTACAGTCATTGTCTTCAATGGACGTTACTCCAAGAAAGCATACGGAAACTGTCCGAACACACTGCACGAACACATTGGCAAGCCTTACCAATGAGCAAATCAAAGCACAATATACTGGCCCGGAAACTCTCCTGATTGAAATCCAATCAAGAATCTATGTTCAATCTGCAAGGAACGATTTCGTGGAATGGACATACGAAGTACTAACATGTGTACTGGGTCATGTTTCATTGGGAAAATACAAAAAAAAGTAAATAATAACGGAATTATTCGTTTTGTTTCAGTTAATTTGCACAAGGGTCTATATGTGGGAGGTATTTTTGCCGCACCCTGTACATCCCAAAATATACAGTGCTTTTTCTTTCTTTAACAAGACGTGATTTTTCTTTATAGTTTTAATCCGTGATTTCCAAAATTAACTGGACACGAAACTGAGTCACCAGTATATCGACCTTTTTCCAAACTTTCTCACTTTCTGCCATAACAAATTGCCAATATTCAGGAATCTACAATATTTTATTAAAATGAATCCATGAACACCAATAATTTTCACTTTTTTTAGAAGATGTACCAATTCTGGACAGGATTTGATTTCGTTTTATTTCTACAAGAAGAATTCCGTCCTGGGTATGACGATAAACTACACACTCGTCCTGGGTAAGACGATAAACTCCATCCGACAGCAAGGCGTCTGATCAGGACGTTTTGATGAGCATGGAACCACCTCTTAATTTCTGGTGTTCACAGGAAAAACCCTGACCGGGGGTGGTAGCACCTGTTAGGGTCCTAGCTATGGGCAAATAGTTAACCCCCAAACTAGGGTCAAAATACTATGAAAGTGTAAAAATAAGGTTTTAATACCAGAAATAATTTGTAAATAATTATTATCAGCAATAAATTTTTGAGGAAAAAATTATTACCAACAATACATTATTACCAGCTATACATTTTAAAAATCATTTAATATCAGCAATACATTTTTAGAAAAAAAAATATTACCAGCAATAAGAAATTTGACGGTATTAAATAACCTATTTATGTTGATATGTCGTAAAACAAAATAAACGAAACCAAACTAAACCAAAGAATACATATTCTATTCATACGAACCTATCCTAAAGACTTAGTGAACTATAACTTTGTAATAGTCACTACTGAAGCGTTTAAATAGTTGACAATCTGGATGTGAGTAACACTATCCTGATTGTTCACATATGAACACTGAATTATTTTTCATGAAACCACGCCACTGAGTGAAGAAATAAGATATTTTTTCCTGAAAAAATGAAAAAAAAAAAAAACCTTGATCCCTGTCATAAGTTAAAAGTATCTGATTTTACTATCTATGAATTCATTTGCAATTTATTCATACTTAGTGTCTTCAATTTTCTTACATATATCAAACGTTAAATAAATTAAATATTCATGTGCTATCCTTAGATGAAAATCTGAACAAATTTTATATATTATTCCATCACCAAAGGCCTGATTTTTAAAGATTTAATAACAGATTTCTCTCAATAAAATCAATAAGCTTAATCTATGCATACC